AAAAAAAAAAAAAAAAAAAAAAAAATAAAGATCAGTGTAGGCTGATAGGCACTGGATTTGGAAATCTGGTTCATTGCTATTAAACCTAGAGAATGCTTCTCTCCAAATCACTACGATGGCAAGTTCTTGTCTAGATCAGCAAACTTTTTATAGAAGTCCAGAGAGTAAATAGCTTGGACTTTGCAGGCCATATTGCTCTCTTGCAACTATTCAACTCAGCCATTGTAAAGTGAAAGCAGTCATAGATAATACTCAAAAGAATGGGTGAGGCTGTGCTCCAACAAAACTTTATTTATGGATTCCAGAATTTGAATTTCATATAATACTTACATGTCACAAAGTATTATTCTTATTTTAATTTTTCAAATCATTTAAAATGGTAAAAAAAACTACTCTCAACTTGAGGACAGTATAAAAACAGGGCAGTTGGATTGGTTTAGTGACCTCTGATCTAGATGGTTTCTAGTTTTAGCTAAAAGCAGTATGGGTAGTATAAAAAACTTTTCAGTGGGACTTTCAGAGAATGAATGTCTAATCTTGACTTCTCAACTTAGAGACTGTAGAAACATTGGTTGACTAGTCATTAAAAATCTCTGGGCTTCACGTTCCTCATTTTATGGAATTTTTGTGTGTGATGAGGAGGGAAGGTGGTTGATGACCTACAAATTCTAAAATTTTAAGAGTTTTAGCATTGTTTGATCATCCCAGGTATCATCTTGCTGGCAAGTATAGTACCTATGTAAAATTACTGCTGTATCTTGTTGAATCATGCTTGACTTTTTGAACCTATGGAGCAAAATTCTATGGAATTATCCTTGCTAGTTGACATTTGACTGTGCTTTTCTATCACTGCATTTCTATCACTGTCAAGAGAAGGGCGATTACCTTGTCAGAACTCTACTAGGTCTCAAGAAATTGCCAAAAGGTTTTCAGAAACCAAGATAAACTTTCACTTTTCTACTGCCAAACAAAACCTCTGAGAGTCCCCTGCTCTTTACAAATACCCTTAAAGGAAAATAAAGAGGCTTGAGAGAAATGTAATACAATCTCATTAATCAGAATCTACAATAATTTAGTCCGAGAGTAACTGGCACTGTTTATGAAAAAGGGTTTTGCTGAGTAAATTAACTAATTGGAGTGGAAATGTTTATTGCTTATCTAATTGAATCCACTACTTTAAAACATGTTTGTAGCATTGGTTTAAATAAAAATGTGTTAATTAAAATTTACTTTGTAAAGAAAGTGAGAGCTTTACTTGGAAGCAATTTCTTAGAAACTGCTCAGCCACAGAGGAACTCGAAAGACCATAAGCTGATATTTATTTAAACTATATTTTAATTTAGACATTTTGCATATTTAGGCTGGTCCCTTCTTTAGAAGCTCAGGTTAGTGAAACGGTGTGTTTTCTAGACCTAGCTACAAATTTTTAAGAAAGAAGCACAGGAAGAGCCTTGATTATTTGAACTAAATGATAGACTAAAACTTGTTGGGAAGATAAATTAGGGGAGGTTTATAAGCTAATGATTAAGAACAATGTTCTTAAACTGAAAAATAGAAAATAAATTTCATCAAATTTGCACATTACTGCAAACATAAAAGTCATACCTGAAACTTCAGAATGGAAAAGAATTTTTGTTGTTTTGATTTCTGAGTCAATGTTTTTAAAATAAAGATATCGGAGGCTACTTCTCAAAATCACAATTAAAATTTGAAATGTTCTCAACTAGACTGTCTTTAGGTATGCATACTATTCAGCTACCCTTGATGAGAATCAAGCATGAACTTTTTCTTTTCAAGAATAGAAAAGTCTCCAAGCAGAGATGAGCTTTCATTGGCACAAGAACTTGTATTCTGGCATTCCATGAGTTTGTTTTCTTAGAGGTAGTCTTATGAATAACAGTTTCTGGGTAAAACTATGGAAGTACAAAGGGCTTATAGATATGTATGCAAATTATTATATTGTTACTATACATCCATTGTTAACCATCAGGTGGTTGAGGAAAGAAAAAGAAACTACAGGCCCTCATAAAGGTGAAAAGGTGGGAAGACTTGAAAGAAAGGCTTCTCTGTTGTTTGCAGTTTAACCTTTCCTGCATTTGGAAATCTGAACCAGCAACATGTGTCAGGGGATGCTCAGCGATCAAAGCTTGTTTCATAGATTTTCTTAGAATAAATAGCTTTCAGAATTATGCTACTCCTAACTCTTGTACACTGTGTTAAAATTATTACTAATGTTACAGAATACTTTCAAATGTCCCCTTTTTACTTCTTGACTGATTGTTTATATACATTTCAGTCCTTCTATTTGCCTAAAATGGGTGTGGTTGTCTTCATTTTGGGTCTCTCACTATTTACTTGAAAATTGTTAGAATACTCTTTTTAGGATTTAGAGAACTGAATGAAGCTGGTAAATATTAACAGTCCAGTGATTCAGAAGTGTGAATAGGTGGAGAAGGAACTTAAGCCAAATGTAGTACTCACTGGGAACTTCATTTCTGCCTAGTTTCTCTGGGTTTGCTGAATGTGCAGTCAGGGACCCATGTTTCATATCTGGCTTTCACTATAGGTGATCCATTGCCTGTGTCAAGCTGCCTTCCTCAGTTTCTGTGAGTTGTGACGACAAGAGAGCTCTGTCTCACTGAGTTGGGTGGCCATTATCAGGAATGTGTCTTCTGTCTGGTCATTAACAACCCTGGTATTAGGTGTCACCAACACCAAAAGAAATATCCCAAACAGTCAGTGACCCCAAGGCCCTTATGGCTGGGGGTAGCCCTCCAGTCTCTGCTCCACCTCCAAATGTAGCATTGTGGGCCACCTGGTTCTTCTAAGTGTAGCAAAACCTCCCCTTTCCCTTTGTACTGTGTTTGTATCTTCAGCTATTATGCCTCAAAATGAAGCTAAGTAAGATGCCTTTCTTAAGAAATCTGGGCACTATTCACGCTGCAGTTTTAGCCAAGTAGTTACTGAATGCTTGGATTAAAAAAGTACAAACTCTATTTAACTGGAATTATTTGTTGCGCAAGTCTGATAATAATATATGTTATTGTGCCTTTTTTGTCCATTTAGATTTTGCAAGACAACTAAATCTTTAGACTATGTTCAGTTACAATAAACTACATCAAATTAAAAAAAAAAAAAAGAAAAGGATTGACAGTGGTGGGAAACTATGGGGGGGGCAGGGAGGGGAAGGGAGGTGGGATTAATGGTAGTCAATATCTGTCTGGGGATAGGGGGCACACCCCATCAACAAGGGTACCTGCACCATGCTTATTTGTATACCTAACCCTTAACTGTACCCCACAATTTTAAAATGAAAAATATTTTTAAAAAAAAGAAAAAAAAGTGTTTTTAAAGCCTTCTGCTGACTGGTAATCTAAGAGAGCCATGTGGTATATTATTTATTAATAGTAAATCCCTTTTTTATCAAATTTGCCTCTGATTCTTAGACAGGCCTGACTGATTTGGTGAACCTTGTATGTCACCGGGATGGGGAGTTGCTGTGGCAGAGAAAGCCAAACAAGACTGGGAGTTTTTTTTGTTTTTTTTGTTTTGAGTTGGAGTCTCACTCTGTTGCCCAGACTGGAGTGCAATGGCCACTCCCGGCCAC